AGGGGTGGCCCCTCTGCGTGTGCCTGCACGAGTGTGTGCACGTGACTTCCAACAGCCCTGCCCTCGTGGTGGTCTCCGGACCCTCCACACTTCATGTGGCTCCTTCGGGTCATCGGCGACCCCGGCATTTTCTGGGGCCCTGTTCTGCGTGAAGTGTTACCTCTCTACCTCCGCACCATCCCCCTCATCCTGGCTTCACCTAGGCTGCCCTGAAAAGGTGGTGGTTTCCATGGATATCCGTCTCCCTCTGGCGACACGCCCTTTTTGTAGAACTCTGTTCCCTAGAGTTGATTGTTTTTGGCACACAGCTCTGTAAACTCATCCAACAATTAAAAGGGGGGAGGGGCAGAACAAAAAGGAGCCGGATAGTAACTGGGGTGAGCGAGAGGCAGGAGGGGCCTCTGGGGTGTGGGTCCCCTCTCTGTCCCCCCGGCAGCAGGACAGCACCTTAAGTGCGACATAAACAGCTGGCCCGGAGTGCCGCCTGTGGGGTTCTGAATTCTCAGAACCCCGCGCCGTTTCCTTCCATTTGAGCTGTGTTCTTGTCCCCCCTTTTCTCTCCCTCAGAAAGTGAGGGTCCCATCCGCAGAGCCAATGTAGCCATCTCCGGAGGCCACCCAAAGTCCTGAGATGCCAGCTTGGACCAATTTGAATATTTGCTGCCCTTGTTTTGGTTAATTGTGTATGTGTTTGCTCTGTTTGTGTACCATCAAATACCTACTGCTTTGGGCGGACCCGTCGTAGGCTGTGTGAGATCACAGATGAAAAATGCAGTGAAAAACACTTTCGTGCCACAACACATCGTGTAGGATTTTTGTATTAAGATGTGGATTTTTTTATTGTTTTTTTTTTTTCCCCTTTTCCATACAGCCTGAAGTTGGGCAATGTACATGTCTGTGTTTTTGTTTTCACTCCGGGTGGTTTATGAAATCTGCTCATTAGGGCTCTGTCCTCTCCCCATCCTGGCCTGATCCTTCAGCCCTTTATCCTCTCGGGTGTAGATCTTTCCCCGTCATCTCCTGTTATCTTCTCTCCTTTGGGGAGATGCTGGGTACCCTCGCCACGCGCGTTCACCCATGTGAAAATCAGGGGTTCCTGTGTCCCTGCTTCTCAGTCCCACATCTCTGAGGCAGATGTGCCTTGTAGTAGGAGGTCCCAGTGTGGATGAGGCAGCAGAAATCTCTGTGCTACCCCACTCCCTCCCCACGGAGAAGCCCCTTAGCTTGCCCGTGGTCTGGAGAGAAGAAACAGAAGCTGTCCCATTCCCACAGAACCTTCTGACTCAGAGTGGCCCTCTTCTAGGTGGCCTTGTTGTCTCCCATCTCATCAAATGACAGCAGTGGGCGGCTCAGCTCTTCTCTCTCCAGGAGGCCATGCCCTTGGCTGGGACCCCATTTACTAGGTAGTTTCAGGGGTTTCTCCTGCTCCCCGGGCACCTCACCATAGGCCCCACCTTTCCCCATTCACAGCCCAGCCAGAAGGAATCACCTAAGCACGACCTTTGTCTTCCCTCTGGTTGTGATCTCTGGGTGCTTTCTGCTGGCTCTTCGGGGTTTGAGGGAGACTTGTCTGGGGACAGGAGGACGGAGATGCAGGAGCGGGAAGAGCATTAGGTGTGGGTCGCTGCTGAGACCAGGGGTGGGGACAAAGGGGAACTTGCATGTAAGTTGGGCCTGGGAACCTGTCAGCCCCGAGTCCAGGCCTGAGCTGTGTGACCTTTGGCAAGTCACTTCATATCTCTGTGCCTCCCCTCCCTAATTGATCCACAGGGACCCTAATCCTTCCTACGTCGTGTTGTAAAGATTTGCCGAGATTACACGTGTACAACACTTAGCACGGTGCTTGGTGAATAGAAGGCATCACGTGGGCCTGTTGGCAGAGTTGTGAAAACCAATCATCTGGTGTGCCCTCCACTCCCAGCATGCTCTCTGTCACATAGTAGGTGCTCAGTCAGTTCTTCTTGGCATCAGGGAACCAAGCGGTCCCCTTGAACCTGGAAGCTATTCATTCATGGTGCTAATGGAGGCGCGAGAACCAAGATGCAGGTTGGGGCTTAGGGGAACCAGACGGAGTGGAGCAGGAGAAACGGCCAGTGAAGTATTCTGTCGTTGGACAGGGATGAAGCTGCCCCAGGCCCATCTGACTGTGACATGAGATCAGGGACTGGTGCAGTTCCGCAAACACGCTGCCCACTGTGGGCCAGCTGTTGTGCTAAAGGCTGGAGACGCAAAGATAATTAGGACCTGGTCTCTGCCCTTGAGGAGTTAAAAACTCAATGGTGGGGACAGACTCGTGAACGAATTACTTTAGTCCGGTACAGATTTAAATGCCACACTGAAGGATGCGTGAGGAGCAGAGCAGAGAGGCATATGGGCCTGCTTGGAGCGGATTCTGGAAGGTCACCTTGAAGAGGTGTGGGAGAAGAAGGTGGTGGTAGGGGAGAACATTTCTGGAGCGCTGTTAACACCTTGCGCATCTCTTGGTGATGCCCCATAACATCTGCTAGGTAGGAGGGAAGAAGGTGTCCCCTCCATCTGTGAGGAAATGGGGCCTTGGGGAGATCATACGGCCTGTCCCAGGGCCCTCAGTGAGTTAAGTGGCCCGACTGGGACTCAGACCCATGTCTGCTGATTCTCGGCCCTGTGTTATTTCTGTACCTGCACATGGCTTCTCACCCCTTCACCCCGGAGCTGCTGGCCAGAGAGCTCTGTCCTCTGGGCTCTCTACCTACTGACCGAGATTCATGCTACCGCCATGGCCCCGGGGGCCTGTGCCATGGGAGGGCCCCGTCCATGGCAGGCCCCAAGGCCTGTGCCCTGGTTTGGTAAATAGGTCAGGCCACTTCCTTGGGGACAGTCCCTGAGCAAGGCCACACCCTGGCAGGGCTGGAGGATGGCAGGAATGGGGAAGACTGAGGAGGAGGGGGAGGGAGAGGCCTGGCCACACCCTTTCTCCAGTTGTTCTTGCTGCCGAGGTGAGAAGCTCCCTCTGCCCTGGGCAGGCCCCTCCCTCAGCTGGAAGAGGCCAGACAAGGGCCGCACCAGGGCCTGGAACACCCTCTTCTCCTGGAACTGGAATCCCCTTCTGAGCCAGGGCATAAGAGCCTGGTATCGTTCGCATTCCCGTGTGTGTGGTCGGGCTCTGGTCTTTCTAGCTCCTTGCCAGGAATCAGGGAGGTAGGAGTGTTCCTCTTGACCTTTTCCCTGGGAAATGTGTATGTCTGCAAGGGGAGAGTGTGAGCCACCTGTACAAAATGTTGGCTTTCAGATGAGGCGGGGGCCATTCTGATGGGATATTGGAATGGAGCCCCCCCAGCAGAAGAATGTTCTGGGGGCAGGGAGCTGTAGGTGGTCTGAGGCACCCCTTCCTCTCTGGCTTGGAGATATTTGGCTGGTGGGTGAGCTGCCCAGGGCTTTGGGGGATTCTGGACCAACAGGCAGGGGAATGTCAAAGCCCAGAAGAGTAAGTCTCCCAGTGGCCCTGAAGTTCCCATTAAAGTGTTTTTTCCTCTTTTTTAAAGAAAAAAATATTCCCAAACTGGAAAACAAAGGAAATCCACTTCCCCCAAATCACACGAAACTCACATTAGGGGCCTGGCGGGAATCCATGGAAACCAGGAAACCCGCTGTTAACCCTGTATGGTGCCGAAGGGTGGGGTGGGAGCCGGGCCGATCCAAGGCCTGGGGCCACTGTCACTGGCCCGGCTCAGTGGCAGTGCCCCAGAGTCGAGGTGGGGGGAGCCGCTGCTGGGACCTCTCGCCTTCACAGCCCAACAACCCCTTCCACTCGGGGCCCAGCCTTGGGAGGCAGGAGAGGAGGGGTTCCTGCCCTCCAGGGAGGCTCGGGGATCCGAGGGCTGGGCCGCATCGGAGAACCTGCTGGGTGGCTGCCCACACCACGCCACCCCGTAGAGTCAGGCCGAGCCCGCTCACACGCCCTGGGAGCATACAGGCGCCATGGACGCTGCCGTCCCCCAGCCACCACCCTCCCTGATGCCAGCCCCATGTGCAGGGGGGGCCGTGTGGGAGCAGATAGAGAGCCCCCTTGGGGTTTCCACGCCCACTCTCCCATCCATGCGCCTGGACCTCCGGGCCTGGGAGCTTGTGCACCGAGGTTAGGTGCTGTATTCGTGTTTGCATGCGCATGGGCTGATTTTTCTAAAAAGGCTGAAAATATTTACAGATTTGAAGTTGAAACGCAAACAGGAAAAGCCCTTTAAAAAGTGAGTGTAGTGGATATTCAAAACAGGAATCACCATGGAAACACCACAATATTTGCTTAAATTGACACAAAGGTTGCCGGTAGCAGGGCACCAACTTTCTTTGGCCACATTTTTTGGGGCCAACACCTATCACACATGAATTTCAGCAGTCCCCTCTCGGTATGCGCCTGCACCCTCTGTTCTGTTCTATGGGATGAGATGGCATGGGACCAGCATGGATGGTGGTGGGGAGGGGAGGGGGAAACAGAAGAAACCAAACTGACCATCCTGGGTCACTGCGGAGACACCTGTTGATTCCGTTTTTAGAGACTCCCACAAGGCCACTGGGGGTTCATGGGAGCGGCTGGAAGCTGGCCTAGGGAACGGGGAGGGAGCAGAGGTTGGGGAGCCCAAGGCTTCCTTTGGTTGTGTGGCTTTGATCTGCCTTCCAGGTCAGCGTGATCTCTTGTCAGGCTGACCTTTCCCCCGGGGTGCCGAGCCTTGGGTATGATCCCTCTGTTCTACCTGGGTGGCATCTGATTGGCCTATCATGGTTTCTACCTGTCTGATTCTTGTGTTAGGTGTGACCGCTGCTTAGCAATTGGCTAATGATTGTGCAAAGGGTGCATTGGTTGTAGGATCGTAGGGTCAGGCAGGGTCCGAGACTCTTACCAGCAACGGGCTGGCTGGTTACGGTGCAAAATGTCGAAACCACGCCATCTGTTGTCCTCTTCTCTGGAGTAGCTTTGTGGGTCTCCGCTGTAGCCTAATAATCTGTTCTCCCCTTTCATTTTGGTAGGCAAACATACCTCGCCGACTGAAGGCAAAGACCCCTTCCATCTCACCTGCCCTTCCAGCCGCCACACTTGTCGACCCCCTCCCGTAGAAGGGGATCCTGCAGCTCCAGCATTGGAGTGGACTTTGGACCCCGGCCTCTTGGGATGCAAAGGTAGCTACTCCTGATGCCCAAGATGTGTCTGGGAAATGTGGGTGGGGGCTGTGGTTGGCCAGTTTGGGGGTTCCTTCTTAGGAGAGGGACTGAGGAGGCCTTTCTCAGAGGGTTCTGACCCAGATGGTGGTGGCTCAGGCACCCTAGGTGAAAGTAAGAAGACGTAGGATTGAGGACCTTAGAGGAGAAGCCACAGGTGTCTTTTTTTTTTTTCCTAAAGATTTTTTTCATTTATTTAGAGAGAGAGAGAGCGAGTGTGTGTGCATATGAGCCAGGGGAGGGGCAGAGGAAGAGAGAGAATCTCAAGCAGACTCCCTGTTGAGCACAGAGCCCAGAACCCAATGCTGGGCTCGATCCTAAGGCCCTGACATTGTGACCTGAGCCGAAATCAAGAGTCTGATCCTCAACCAACTGAGCCACCCAGGCGGCTCCCACAGGTGTCTTGATCCAGGCTCAGAAATCGCCCCTCGCCGAAGGCAGGTCACTTAACACCAGGGATGGGTAGTCTGTGAGGCTGGTACTGTCAGATATCTCCCTGCGGGTAGCAGACGTGGCAGTTTTTGTGGTGGGGGGTTGACACACAGCAGGTGACTTACCACCTATTGGTCGTCATTCAGTGTTCTCTTGGGATCCCAAGGAAACCAGTCCAGAAGGGTTAGGTGCTGATGAAATTGATGGGCATGGTGTTAGGACAGGGGCCGAGGTGGAGGGTCTAGAAAATGGCGGGGAGGGCAAGGCCGCAAGCCATTCCTCCTGTGTGCGCAGGACAGGAGTCAGCAGCCCCAGCTTACTTACCAGCTCCGTCCCTCCCTGTGGGTGCCATGGGCAGGTGTGTCTTGCCCCTCCCTCCGTGGCCAGGCTCTGCAACTCTGGACTTTGAACTTGCAGGGAGGAAGCACTTGGCAGCGATGGGTGCCTTGGTGCCCACTGGGGTCTGAGAGGTCCCCAAAGCTGTGGGCCTGCTTGATTCCAGGCTGTGCCACCTCAGGGACTAGAAGCCTTGGATACAGGGCAGGGATTTGCAAATCAGATGTAAATGTCACCTTGGGTTACTGTGGTGGAGCAACTGCGTGGCCGAGACTCTTCTTCCTGGTGTCTAGAAAGCGATCACACTCCAGGAGCTGGTCTGTCCACATTTAAGATGTGCTACTGTTGTCCCCTGATGGCGGTGTCGAGATTGTTGGTGTAGCGGTCTTGCTGGGTGTTTGGCACGAGCACTTGTATGTCTCTACACTTCTTGGGCTCTTCTTGCCTGACTCTGCTTCTCTGATCATCGTGGGTCCTGGGAAGGCAGGCCCACGTGTCTTCAAGCCTCTACCTGGTCTCCCTGGGCCCGGCTGGGCCCAGCACATGAGCAGCAGGTTGCCAAAGTGCGTATAGCTCCCCGCTTTGAAGGGGGAATATTGCCCGTTCTCTTCTCAGTGGCTGGCTTTTTGTTTTCTTCATTCCCTCGGCAAAACATGCCTATTAGTTTTTCCCTTTCTGAAGTTTCCACTCACTGTTGACTCCCAGGGGCCATGCTGGCCTAGGGGACGGGCTCCACGAGTCCTGTGGGGCTCCCGCGTCCTGGCATCAGCCATCTAAAGCTTAATAACGAAGCTTGGGAACTCTGAGGGCCCTGAGAGGGAATGTTGTGGCCAAGCCCCTCCACATTTACCCACCTCTTCCCAGGAACCGGGTTTGGCCGCAGGTCCACGTCCTCTGGGGCAGGGCTGACCCATGGTCTCAGAGGTGTCCTTCCTCACCACCTCGGAGTGTGGGCCAAGGTGAGTCTATACTCAGGCCCGATCCACAGGCCTGCTCCTGTATAGTTCAGACTCTCCCTATTTCTGGTTGTGCTGCGTAAGATCTGGTTATATTTAATCAACAGAAACCGAGGGCCTGGTTCTGCCAGTCATTGGGGGTAGAGTGGACAAGACAGCCCTGGCTCTCATGGAGTTCTGGTTGGGCAGGCAGACAAGGAATCCACCAAAAAGGAACAAGGACACCATTAGCACAGAATGGACATAGGATGAAGTGGTGTGAAGTGAGGGGGCAGTCAGAGGAGGCCTCTTTGAGGAGGTGACAGCTGAGATGGAAGGAGAGGAAGTGGACAGCCCTCTGAGGAGCAGGCAGAATAGTCCAGAAAGAAAACGACTGGTCTAAAGGTCCTGAGGTGGGATGAGCTCAGTACATTTGGTAACAGAAGGAAGGTCCCGGTGGCTGGGAGGTGGACCCGTTTGTAGGGGTCAGTAGGCCGGGGAAGTTGGCATTTTATTCTTTAGGTGACAGGAAGCCACTGGAGGGTTTTAAGCATGGAGGTAAAGTGATCTGGGTTTTGCTTTGGAAAAGCTGGCTGGGGCTGCAGTGGGAAGAATGGATTGCACGGGGGCAGGGGAGAAAGCAGGCCGGATGGGAGGCTGCTGTGGACAGACGCTGACACGAGGAGGTGGACAGCGTGGAAGGGCGCCGAGTCCATGCGTTGAGAGGGAGGGTGAGTAGTGCTTGCTGTGGGAGCGAACGGCGAAAAGAAGAGCCAGGCCAACCCCAGATTCCAGGGGCCCCGATGTGGGCCTGCATCTCCTCTCCTCTCACACCCCCACCCTGCCAGTGCCAGGCACCACCCGTGGCTTTCAGAGGCCATACGTTTTGTGGATTAAGGAGAAGCACCATCCAGGGCCCGGTGCTGGCTGCTGAGAAAGCGTGGTAGAGTGGTTTAGGCATCTCTTGGCCGGCACCATGTAGAGGGAAGGCCAGAGGCCCGCTCGTCTCTGGCATTGTTTTCAGTAGGTATTTCCAAGCTCACCGTCCTTTTGGCCCGAAGACTGCACGGGAGCTTGTTTTGTGCCTCTGCTCCGTGGGCTCGGTGCTGGGTTTGAGGTTGGGTCTAGTTCGTATAGTTCCTGTCACTGTGGTCGTAAATGTGATCTGTGTTCTCAAGGGCTGAGCATCTGCATACCTTCTCCCGGGCATCCGGTCACCCAGGGCCAGATTTGTCTAAGGGTTTGTCTAAGACCTCCTCATTTCCACTGGGGCCAGCTCAGCTTCCAGCCCCAGTGTATGGGCAGGGATCCTAGCAGTCTTTGCATGTGGAAAGTCCTTTCACAATTCACGGTGTGGATTCCCATAGGTACCCCATCAGATTTGACTTGGGCCACTGTCCCCTTTTCCTGGGCCTCTGATACAAGGCTCAGCTCTCCTGGGTCTTGGTATCATCTGCTTGGGCTAGGATGGGGCAGGCAACCCCAAACAGCGATGCTATCACAGTGAAGCGATCCTGGGCCCTCCGGGGTAAGTGTTACACGTCCTAGACAGCAAGCCAGAGGCCTGGGAGGAGGGAGCATGGAGCTGTCACAGCCGGCTGCGGGGGCCCCAGTGAGTACTCGCCCATGCTGGCAACATATTCTCAGCCATATGGGCCAGCTCAGCCCTCCAGGAAAGCTCTGGAGGCTTGACCTCCAGGGGGAGTGACAGGAGGGAGCAGAAGGGCAGGCTGGCGACGTTTGCAGGGGGTGACAGGGATGTCCCAGGCGGGCAGCTGGTGACTCTGCCTGGCTCCGAGGGGGTGTCAGCCAGCCTTCCTGGGTGTGTCTGCCAACATCAGAACCCTGGGCTGAGCCCCGGGGGAGGGTGTGTCTGGGTGGGCAGGCGTGGGAGGCTCTTCTGCTTTTTGCCTCCATGGCCTGTACTAGATCCATGGCCTTCACTTGTAACTGGACTGGACAGTTCTAACTCCTTCCTCCCGGGCTCTGATCTGATGTGGGGCTGGCTGTTCCAGGCAAGCAGCTGGGGGAGGGGGTGCAGAGGGGGGATCAGGAGAGGTACTGGCTATGGGACTTGGGGGTCCGAGCCCTGTGCCACCCCTGGGTAAGTTCACGCTTGGGGGGGATGGCTGAACTACAAGGCTTGGGAAGTGTCACCGAACCTTCTGGTTTCTGTTCAGGGTGAGAATTCGGCCCTGATGCTGCGGACGCCCCGGCCCTGGGCCTCCTTCCTCAGTTTTCCCTGTCTCTTAGCAGACTCAGGAAGCCCCTGGATCCCACCAGGCACAGACCCAAGGGGAGAGGGATGGGGAAGGGCCGGCCGTACCTGCCTGTCTGGAGCTACCTCGGGGCCTCTCTGCGTTTGGTGACATGGTTGCTCCAAAGGGACAACAGCCCATGGCTTTGGGAGGGTTAAGGTCTTGTGGACGAGGGGAGAGGCACTTCTGTCCTGCCTCCATCCTTGTGAGGCCTCCACAGGGAGAGCACTCTGGTGGTGTTGGAGGAGCACCATCGGGGAGCCCCCAGAGAGGAGTCCCGGGGACTGTGAACATGTCGTCCTCTCTTGCAGGTCCCGGGGCTCCTGCTGTTCTGTCTCCCCCAGCTTCCCCGGCCTCTATTATTCCAGAATCTACCCAGGTGTAGAGCTGGTCTAGAAAGCCCTTCAGCCCAGAGGACACCACACAGAGGCCTGAGGCAGCCCAGTGTGGGGACACTTATGTGGCCGCCCCTCACCACCAGCTACTGCTTCTCCATTAAACCTGCTCTGGGCGTGTTCCTCACCTTCCGCTACCCACTCATGTTTTCTCTCTGATTGGGTTTCTTGGCCCCTAGGGAGCAGGTGCCTTTTCTGCCCCTGAGCCTCCATATGGCAGCCTGGGGTTGGGACCCCTGTGGCCAGGGCGAGTGGAAATGGGAAGGTGTAATTAATCACTAGTTTCTTCTCCAGAAATGCTAATCGGGAGAAGCAATTAAAAGCAACTTTTTTCCCTTAGTAATCTGTGCTAAAAGCTGGTAATGAAGTTTAGGGCCGTCGTGACTCAATATTTCAGCTTCACCGACTCAAGTCAAAACAATCCAAGCCCAGGAGTTTGCCGGCAGCTGAGCTGGGCCCGGGCAGCAGCTGGGAGCCCCCACTCCCTCTCCTCACCCCCTCACTGCCACCCCACCCCCCACCCCTGCTTCTGGGGCAGAGCCTGTAGCAGGCCCAGCTGGGGGAGGGTCTGGGTGGCAGGGAGATGGGTCCCCGAGGCCATCCTT